GCTGAGCTTTTATAAACATCTCACTGGTAAACACCCATTTTTCTAAAACTAAACATCTCATTAGCAAACATCCAATTTTTTAAAAACTGACTGTGTTTCATTCGTCTGCTTCTACTTTGGATTTTTCAGTGTATTAATCTTTAGTAAAGAACAGGTGTTAAATCTTTGAATTGAAGTTTACTTTGAGCTTCCGCCTGTATAACAGATGATGTGAAAAGATGAAGACGGGCTAATTGACGCTGTTTTAAAAATGAAAAGATTTTGTTTTTCACAACTTCAATTACTTCTTTATTTAATTTATCTCAATGTTTTTTTAATGACATGATATTTTATATGCTTTTAGTCAAATGCTCTGCTCATATAAATAATTATAAATAAGAATTTATATAAGCATACAGTTATTAGTGGTTACTAAGGGACTGTGAGTTAAGACAAACGAACATACTATCATTAAAATGTTTTTCAAGAACCTTTCTTTTTATAATTATATAGAATTTGTTTTAAAATGGTTATGGTTGCATACAAGTATTAAAAGGGTATTAAAAGGTATTCAATTTAAATATAACAAAAAGTGCGCGATATATAGTCTTATTTATTTTATCCTCGATTTCATTGTTTATTATCTTCTCACACGATTGAAGGAAATTTTAATGATCCCATGTACACTTAAATAATAAATTATTTAAACTGGATTCTTTTTGGAAAATAATACAAACCTAATTAATAATAAAAACATTCAGTTGCTATTAAACATAATTTGAATCCTGCGAACGTGCTATGGGCACTTTCATGGTTGTCCCCATGTGTAACGTGTATACGAGCCAATTTCCCTTAGAATGTCCTCTACGAAGGCATTCCTCAGTAGATAGCCCTCGAGTGCTTTTCCATAATCAAATAAACCAAATCAAACCAAACTATAACATTCTTTTCAGTCGTCCGTATATATGTGATATCGGAATACAGACTGCTGAAATTTTATTGCAATGGTTGTTTCTTTGGTTACTCAATTTAATTAAAATTTTTCCACCTGCGGAAAACATTTCGGTTTTGCACTTTCCATTTAATATTTATTCATTATTTCAAAAAATAACATTATCTTTCCTAATACGTAAAATTAGTTATCTTTAGGCCACGTTAGTACCTTAGAATATGTATGAATGAATGTATAAAATGATGATTCATGAATGTATGTATTCATGAATGTACAAAATTTAACACAAATACAAAGCCTTTAATAAATATTATTGAAACTTAGTAACCCATTTTAACAAATACACACATCAAAACTTTGCATTATGCAAAAAATAATGTGTTCTGAAAATTTTTTTAGTTTTTATAAGTAATAAAATACAAAATGCTCGTTATTTTATTATTAAAAGACACTAAGTAATGCTTTACCGAATGAAGCGCCAAATGACAATGCTACTGATAAAATAATAAGATATTAAAATGTATTTGTTTTTCATTTTACCTTCAATATGCCTCGTGAAACGAAATTAATAAAACGCGTAAGTAATCATTTTCGAGTCTGAATTAATGAGCTCAATAACAATCACGCAAATAAAATCTGTGCCAGAAGTATCACTTTACCAGAACTGGCTATTATACCAAGAAAAGGATCTCAGCAAACTTCAGATTATTCATAGTATAGCTTGAGAGGCACCGCGAATATACAAATAAAGAAGTACAAATATATATGTAAGAGGAATTTAATTTTTCTCAATATATATGAACATAAAATATCAGCAACAATGCTAAATAACAAATCTAAAGAGATCAATTTCAATTCTGTAGAAAACAAAAAATAAAAAATCTGGAAAACCCATCAAAGCTTATCACGAAATAAAACAAGGTTGAAAGTTTCATGTTGTTCAACGAACTCGTCCTTAGAACTTTTAAGAGAAAACGAAGCAAAAGAAATAAGATAATAAAAGAACTATTGATGACATAAACACAGCACATCAAGACATTAGAGCTGCTTTTAAAAGCAGAAACATAATAACCTAAGCAAAATGATGGACTTAAACATACGTATAATAAATATGCTTACGATATTTCGTTGTCATTAAAGGAACGAATTCTATATAAAACAGAAAGAAATGAAATCATGTAATGTAAACCGTGCCATTAAAGCATATTCCAGGCAGTGTACTTTAGTTTTCCTTTAATATTATACCGTTCGTATTAATACCCATTATAGTTTCTATTTACATAAGCTGTTGATCAAAAACATAATTTTTTAAAAGAAAATCTTAAGATGCAACACAACTCTTTTATATATGTACATGTAATGAAGAAATCTTAGTCATTGTAATGAAGCAGACTCAGAATGTATTGATATTGTAAAAATATTGATTGCATAGAAGGAGATTCATGACGAAGAGCAACTTCGCAGACGAGACAAATTAATTTCATCATTTCTGTTTCAGTAAACATGTGGCGGCCACAAACAGGCTGGCATATTACTGGTACCTATTTCAAAGCGTTTTGATAACTTCGCAATAAGAAGAGAGCTGCAATCAGCAGTCTAGCTAGCCTGAAGTATAAAAACCAAGTAAGTTGTCTTCAGGACGAAATCTTTATACAGAGTGAGTTAGATTCGGTTTTCAATGCATTTGATTGGATAATTAATGCTGCTGTAAAACTATTATTGGCTGTTTGAGTTTTAGTTCCATTTACATCACCAGCGTTATGGAAGAATCATATGACATGAATTACTCTCAAAATGACACAGTGCAGAAAAATATTGCTATTTTTAGAACAGAGAGGGGAAATACTAAATTAAGCATTAAGGGGCTATTGCTAATTTTAATTACAATTTATCTTTCATATTTTTTATGTTATATACAAATATAACCGATATAAAGAAATATATATATGTGCATAATATACTTTATCTTTTACATATTTTTTATCTTATACATAGATAGATAGATACTTTTCTTTTTTCCTTCTGTATTTCCTTATTTTAATCAAGCAGAAGTCTACCACCTAATTCAATTTTATTGTTTATTATATTTTTTATATTATCATTGATTATTTATTTATAATTATAATATTTAATAATAATTTTCCTCACACTTACGCCATACACAATTATAAAATAGTATACAGAATATACAATTTCAACAGCAAAATTACAAAAATTTTAACAGCAGCAGAGCAGTACACGTTCAGAATTTCCGGTGCAGCGCTAAGTGTTGTCAAACATTTTTCTATTTCCTTTCAGTTCATCACAGCAAGGTTCAGTTTTCTTAGTAAAATGGTTGTAAAAAACAATTTTTTTGCCTTTTTATTAATAACGTTCTGAGTGTTTACTTTATTTATTAAATATCACGTTCTTGACGCTTACGACAAATACCATCCAATTCAATAGCTAAATCACAAAATATTTAAAAACAGCATATCTTTAGAATACACAGTCTCACGCGCTGGAGATAAAAATATTTTATTCCGTACAGTTTTTCCACCGCTCGCTTAGAAATCGTTGAGTTTGTTAATCAAAAATTCGTTTAAAAAAATATGAAACAGATAACAAAACAAATTCGAAAGTCAAAATTCAGGCTTCCTTCTGCCATTGTTTGGGTAGAGGACTACGTTATTAAAAATTTGACGGCTCTAGGGGGCCATCGTTTTTTCCCAAAAATGCCGTTTCCGGACTGATATCCCATTCGCGACTAATGTCTCGTTTGGGCTAATAATAAAAAAAATAAAGAATTAAATTTTTTATTATTATATACTGTGTTTTCAGAACTTTCAGCTTCAATATAATTCAGTCTTATCGATTAAATATCTCAGATTTATTTTTTAGCATATTCTTTATTACAGTTTTATAGGCATTATACTTTAGCAGCTATCCATTTAATAAGTTTGAAAATGCTAAAATAAAGAGCTGCAAAACGGTTAGATCAGTTCATTTCCGTTTTAGCGACATTCTAAAATTTTCACTCTAAAATCACAATTAATAAATTTTAAATTCCTTGCAATACAAAGCGAGAGTCTTCGCAAAATGTGCTACGCTCCAGTTACAAGAAACTGATACTATTCGGTGACTGATTTAATATTGACAGTCCTCGTTGAACTAAGTAAGTAAAACATTTAACGAGAGAAATTTACTGTTTATTAGATTCACAATTTTGTTTTCTCAAATGAAAGGGAACATAAAGATATGCAAATTTTAATAATGTGTTGATGCAAAAAGTAGCACGTATTTTCAACACCAAATTATTCATTTCCCATTAACTGATGATAGCTTTTGTAGTGCTGCTGGGAAAAAAACCCATGAATTTGCGATTATCGTTATTATTACAGAAAGTCACGAATTATATACAATTCAATTTTTCTCGTTGATAAATTATATAAACAAAATCCTTTCCCGGCAACCGTTCGTCGTAGAGATATACTTCAAATTACAAAAATATTTTAAATGATGCAAAAATTTTTGTTTTGGCAATTTTAAACGTAAAAAAAAAAAAAAAAAAAAAAAAAAATCAATTTTATAAAAAAACTAGAAAGCTAACTTTTTACACATTTCTCCGGTTCTTATATTTAGGAAAATTTTGGACTTCTTAAAAAAATAAAACACTAAAAGTTTGACTCCCGTACGACAAAAATTGACTGAGATATTTGACATTAAAGAGAATAATATTCAGAGACTGCCCAGATTGAAGTGCGAAATGAGTGTGCATTTGTACGTAACTAAATATAAAATATCATTTAGAAAAATGTTTTTGGTGTTAAGAGATTATGTGATGAGAATTTTTGTGTAGATTATTATGAAAAATATTGGTCAATATAATTGCTTTCAAAATGGAGATCTTATTTCTATGCTCTTATGGATTTGGTTTGGTTTATATGGTAGGTTTATTTGGTTTAGTAGCTTAATATTCAGATACCCAAACTTCTAATGGAGACCACAGATTAAACGACCTAACAAGATATAAATATACAGAAATATACAGAGAGATATATAAATATGCAGAAAAAGATACAAAACTTACCTTGCGGAAGCATAAAAGGCTGTAGGTTGATCATGTACTGTCGATTGCTCAGCTGTAGCTGCTGCATGAGCTGGTGCTGTTGAAGCGCCAGCTGTTGCAGCTGTAGTTGTAGCTGCTGTCGATTGGCTTTCTTGTCTGATGATCCGAGACCCGGCAAGCCGTTATTCAATCCATTCAGCTGATGGAGGATCTGGCTTTGCTGCATGATGTTGAGATTTATCTGCTCCTGGATGTGCGGAATGACCGATTCCAGCTGCTTAAGCTGCTGGTGCTGCTGATGTTGCTGCTGAAGAAAAAGATACTGTTACGTACAAACAAAAATTTAATCAACAATTTATTTTAATGCATACATATACAGTGTATTCGAGAAAGGTACCCACGGAATTGATTTTTTTAATGATCCTAAACATGAATTTTTAATTAATCATGTCTATGTGTATTTATGTAATATTAATATTAACATATTAAAAGAGCAATACAATATATTATTGTTCAAAATCAAGACTGCTGATGGTTATGGTTCATTTTAAATGGAACTTGTGATGAAGAAACAAAACAAAACGACAGATTAAACAGCAATTTGGGAATGTTCCATATTACCTGCTGTTGCTGTAGAAAAATGGACTGTTGCTGCTGCAGCAACTGCTGCAGCTGCGTGGGCGAAGGTTGCTGCAGCAGCTGTTGCAGCTGATGTTGAGCCAACAGCTGCGAATTCATCATCAACAGAGGAGGTATGTTGGATTCGTTGCTTCCGGGCTTATCGCTGTGGTTGGCCGGCCTGGACCGCTTGCCTCCTTGAGCTTTAGAGCCCTGAAACCAAGAAATAACTACTGTGAGCTGAAAATCAAAAACACACTCAAAAAATCTATATTAAGAAAGAAGAATGTGTTAAAAATGAATCTCCTGGCTTTATATCAATTATTGTTATTTGTGTAATGCAGGGAACACACTTCCAACAGAACTTAACGCAATGCAAAGTAACGTTCTGAGTGAATCTGATAGAAAACATATGTGCTTCATACAAAATCACCTTTCGTTTTCTAATTCCTCTTGTTCCATTTTTTCCAGGAAATGAACAGTGGATTTTTATGTGTCGCTGCTTGCTTTATCTTGATGCAGTTCTATTGACAGATAGCACTGTGGGTAAAGATAAGGTATTTCATATTTGAAAATTGGTATAAAAATTTTCCTGATAATATAAAGAACTGATCTTAACATTTTTCTCCTTATTTTTAATTTGCCGTTATATGGAAAACCAGCAACAATACTAAATCCCTTTGAAAAACTTTCTTTAGATTCTTTGAACCATGTTTTAAGATTTTTTTCTCCTGGTTTCATGATAATAAATGGATCTCTTTTTATCATTTAAATGCACTCAATGTTCATCTATTATAACAACATTTTCCCATTTTTGTCCGGATAAATGTTTCTCATAAAGAATTGCGCAGCACGTTCTGCGTTCGGTGACATGTCGTGGATAAAGACGATGCATATTATGCTTTTCTGACATTTTAAGATTCAAATCAGCACTAATCACTTTGCTTGTTGACCTGAGCATTTTAATGATTTTACAACTGTCCTTTAACTTAGCAGATTTTCTTTTAGCAGTAAATATCTTACCATCGCAACACTCGAAAAATTCCATTTTTTCCCGTGGATATATACTTGAACCAATTTTGTTTCGTTTGAAGCCAAGCTCTAACGTTTATTTCCTTTCTCATCGACAATATTACCCATTATGGCTTTAAGTATAGAAAACCCACGGCTTTAAAAATTTTTTGTAATAACTAGATACGAATAATTTTTTCGGAAAGAGCATAAACATAGTCTTTCATCCACTGCTTCTTAGAAAGCGCCATTCTGCATGAAAACATAACTGTTAAGTAGCACAGTCGATAATTTATACTTTCAGAAATACAGCTGCAGTTAAAAAAATTCCAAGCAGACAATTTTCTTTTATAGTGAAGCAAAATGTCTAAAACATGTGCGAACAAACAGCCTGTATATTCTAATACTGGATCCAAATTTAAATAGGATTTAACTAAAAACTATTAATGAATTATCTTTAAAAGACCTAAGGTTGTAGCTGCTTTCGTATCCAGAATTGCTGAAAAAGCGTCGTTTTTAGAACTAGATATTTCCGACTGAAATTTTGCATCATTTATAGCATTTGGGTATTTGGCTAAATTTTTGCATTTTTTATATCATTCAGAAATTGAAGTTACAAACTGTTGCTTTTAAATTAATTAAATCCAGTGACATTAATTTTTTATTAGTTAAAAATCGAAAATCATAAAATATTTCGTTTATTTTATTTTTTTGTATCTCTACTTCAATTACGAGATTAAAACATCTAACATTTCTTTTAATTTTTGTTATGAAAAAAGATTTTGCTAAAAAATTCGTTTTTTACCAACCTGATTCTCAATAACTTTACTTTCTCATTTATGAGAAATTTATGAGAAAATTTATGAGAATTTATGAGAAATCTCATTTATGAGAAAATTTTTTTGGTATATTTATTTCTAAAGAACATTTCCTGAAATATTTTATCTCATCTTCTGTAAAGAAAGACGTGACGTATTAAGCGTGCGGCTTTACAGACGATTATAGATTTTGATTGTAAAGTTTTATTCTGTCGCTTTTAGTATTGAATTCCCCCCCAGATAACACACATAAAAGTTTTAAATAGATTTGCTTAAACTTGCTATTATTTTCGTTCCACTATAATAATTCATCATTTGATGTCATACCTTTTAATGGCTAACGCAGTTTTTTTTTTAACTCCAGTTCCAATTCCTCTTGTTCCGCAAAGTATACCACAAGGATTACACAAGTAAGTTATTTTACTAATAAAATAAATAAATAAAAACAGAAAGCTTTCAGATTTTTATATTATGCCCGCCTCCGTGAAAACTCGCCCAATACGGGCGTGTTTTCACGGGGGTTCAAAACGAGATTTCAAAAGTGATACAACATTCAAAGACATTCCAAGCAAAATACCATTACAAAGTGTAACGTTTTTCCGTTGCTACGCCACCGACATAATACCAGTAAGAAATGCGAAGAAACTTCACGCATAAAATATCCGTGCTTGAAGATGCACGCGATATTAATGTTACTGGAACGCTTTTAAATTGCTGCGTTTGTTAAATCAAAAATTCGCTAACGTTTTACAAAATATGAAACAGATACTAAAACAAACTCCAAATTCCATATTTGGGCCTCCAGATGCCCATATTCGAGTGGGGCACTACGTTATTCAAAATTTGATGTCTCTAAGTAGCGTTGCCTTTTTCACAATGTGAAAAACATACATACACTGATGTAGATTCTTCATTATTTAATCTCTTTAAATTTAATGTACGGCTCTAATATTTGGTGGAAACAATTTGAAAAGTGATTCAGACTTCTATAGTGAACCCATGCAAACTGCTAAAACGAAATTAATAACCCTTCTGGGCAAATTGCCCCTTTGAGCTAAAAAGTATAGTAATACTGCAAACTTCGGATTTAATTTCATCAGTTTTTAAAATTTTATTTTTTTAATTATCTTGGTTATTTTTAAATATATTTCTTTAACAGGATTTATTTTTAATGTCCACCATATATCTGTGTTACTTTAAAAACAGTATCACTGATATAAGACTGGCTCTTTGTACAAAATTGTGCAGTGCGTGGCATTCTATAACGGAAAAATACTATAACACGACCCGTGTTTTCGTTATAAAATCTGTGCAATAAATTTCTGACAAAATTAATTTATCAACGCACAGACTTCATAATAACTCTTAACAGCACTAATACTTCAAGAATTGGTTTGTTAATTAATCGATTAATCACAGCATCAGTGTTAACTAAACACGATCTTTATGCTGAAAGAATTTGGTCTTCCAAAACTTATCCTAATATTTATCCATTTCTGGTTCAGATTCTGTTAAATGAAGTTATTTTACAGTTTTTAATTTTACTTTTCTTCACTTTTAACATAGATAAACAAATACTTCTTTTCAACATGCAAAGTTCAAATTTAATTTCGTGACATATTCCTGATTGCAAAAAGATATTCTTAGCACCTTATAAATAATAATTTTATGCTCCTGCTTTTTTTTTTTTTTTTGTTAAATTTCGTGTTCGTGTTCTGAAGTTGTTCGAGTGGGTAATTCTGAAAGCTTGTGCTTGTATGGTTTTTGGTGAACGTGTTAGCTGAGCATAGTTTTCAAACTTTTTTGTGGGTAACTTGAAAACAACAGAATTCCCTTAGAATATCCAGTATGAAAGCATGCCTTCTAAATCAAAAGCTTTGCGTGCTTTACTTTAATCGATTAATTAACAAACCAATTCTTGAACATTTGCAAATCGCAGATGAGTCAAGTACGTAAGTTTTATTGCAAGAAAGGTTTACTTGAACTTAAGCAGAATGCCAAATTCAAATAAGTAGCTAATATATTACCTGTCGGCTCTAAGTTAAATGTGGCAATAGAATGGTTTAGATAATATTTTTTCGTTATCGTTCTCTTTATATCCCTACAGCATAAGTCTAGTTTAAAAATTAATAAGATTTAATGGTGTTCATGGTTTATCTTTACTATTACCCCTCCCATACACACACCCGATCAGTCAGCTTAGGGGAAGTCAATGCGCTAAATTTAGCGAATATGGCAGGTGTTTGCAGCAATAACTTTATTTACATCAATAAACAAGCTTGCTACTGAGTTTAACTGGCCTTGGTGTTCAGTTTTAGTGTTTTTAAATCAACAGCATGCATTAGTTTCTCTTTCTCCACATTTCACTTTTTTCTAAAATTGCATTTTTAAAAGTTCCTAAAGCTATAAATATATTAAAAGTATGTATAGGCTGATTCTAAATTACTTTTACAAATTAACAGGAGGATAGTACTTATCCAGATGAGCAATAATTACCATTGAACATAGGGTCGCATTCCACTCTGAGAGGCAGAAAAGAAGAATATTAGAATTCCAATCTGAATTTACAACAGTGTTGAGAGAGCGAATGAACGAGACAAAATGTTGCACAATCAGTTTAGTGACAAACTCACAGAGAGTGCACAAAACGGATAAAACGGAAAACTTTGCGTTCAAGTGTTAATTCAAGCTCAGATTTTGATGGCAAACACTCAAATGCACATCTTTGGCTGGCAAGGGCTCAACCTCGCAAAGGATTGCAACAAGTTAATTATGTAATCAAGGGCTGAATATTATCAACTAACTCCAGCGTCCGTTGCATGCCAAGATTAGCATGAAAAGCTCATGCTACGTTAGAACTTCGTGTCCTACAGAAGGGCGCTTGAAGTAGAATGAGCGCAGCAGAGTAAGTCCAGGAAGACAGGATAGAAGATGGCTAAGAAAAAACAACTGCTACCTTAAAATACTTGATACGAAAGTAGTTTCCCCCTTAATAGATAATTTTCCCCTAATAATTTAAATAATTAACTTGTTGCAATCATTTGCCAGGTTGAGACTTTGCCAATCAACGATGTGCATTTGAGTGTTTGCCATCAAAGTCTGAGCTCGAATTAACACTTGAACGCTAAGTTTTCGGTTTTATCCGTTCTGTGCACGCTCTGTGACTCTGTGAGTTTGTCACTAAACTGATTGTGCAACATTTGGTCTCGTTCATTCCCTTTCCCATGTTTAAGTTGAGATTGGAATTCTAATATTCTTCTTTTCTGCCTCTCAGAGTGGAACGCGCCCCTATGTTCTATGGTAGTTATTGCTCATCTGGATGAGTACTATCACCCCTCTTAATTTGTAAAAGTAATTTAGAATCACCCTGTATATATATTCAAA